CCTGTCCATCTTCTCCATAATTTGCCTTTAGATCAGCAAGAATTTGAGCAGTCTCCAAAGAATTAAACTTTAATTCACGTGCAAGAACGCACAATGAATAATACAGTGATCAAATTTCACCAACTTCTTTATGTATGTAGTTTCAGCCACTAGTGTATCTACTTGTCGAGGTTGCGAAACAAAATTATTAAATATGCAATTTATTACATTACATAAGTGAGTTCAAATCTACATAAAACAAATTATTTTAAAATTATTTATAAATTAACAAATTACATGAATGTACATATACATAATATTACATAACACATATAATAATTTGCATTGAAAATTACTCATTATTTTTATATTTTCCTGTCATATTAAGTAATTAAATGTTAAATAAATCATTATTTCTTCATCTTTCAAATATTTGTAACAAACCCTTTTTTAAAAACAATGTGGGAGTCAAGAAATCCCATTATTATCTACCATAACTATATCAACAACAACATTAAATGTAATTTTAATTTAAACTGAAGAAATTCAACTAATTCTGACCTATAAAACATTTTAAAAGAGGGAGAAAAAGAAGAAGGAGCGATGGTTTTGATGAAAATTTTAATTTACACTTGGGTGCTGCATCCAATATTTTTTTTCCCTCATTTATATATATTTTTTTCTCAAACACTTCATAACAATGGTTTAATTGAATCCATTTTCAACTTAAAAAATACTTTTACCTTACATGCTATTAATATAATGTTAAGAATTGATTAAATAACGAAGCGATTAGTTTTCCTAAAAAAAAACGTAGTTACAGCTCTGCATGGTAGGGCGCACTATTGTGTTTTAACGTCAGAGCACCCCGTTAAAGTAAATTTGACGGGGGAAGTTAGCACCTTTAGTTCCGTTTTCCTAAATTCTACTTACTTTCTGTTTTCATCCGTTTTTTAGCTAAAATCTACTCGCTTTTGTTTTATTTCTTTTTATGGCAACCTTTTATTCATTTTACTTTGTGAGGCCCAAATAGCTTAAACAAATATCTTATTCTCTATCTCTCACATCTTTAAAAGCAAAAGTAATCATATTCATGGTCTCCATTTCTATTAATCTTTAGCTTTTGTTGCTTGAGTAGAACATAATAAAATGCATGGAATACTAATCTAGACAGATAGTTATAAGTGATAAGCTATTAACAATATCCAAATTTTTAATTAGAAAGTAGATATGATTTTAATGAAGATATTGATTTTATTTTTTAAATGAATTTAAAATAGTGTGGAATATTAAGCTTATAGTAGTAGAAAAAAGGTATGTGTTAAAATGACAACTAGATCATAATTTGTGTTGGACGAAATAAGAAAGTGTTCTACTTTTAACAACTACTAATAACTCATATATGACAAAGTAAGTATATTGTTGAATTTCATAATTCATAAGATAAAATGTAACCCTCCTTCAGGAATGAAGAGAGTAGTTTTAATTAACCTTCTTAATTGATGATGAGTTATTAATCTTACGCTACAACTTTTCTTTTTTTTTTTTTTAATAAGACATTAACATTATTAATTAGTTATAAATGTATGATTTAAATCTTTTCATCATATTCTAGCTAAGATTTCATTTACAAGTAGGTTTAATTTGTCTAAATAATTTCTTGGATTTTGTGTATGAATAATATACTAAAATAATACATTATCACATTTTACAAAAATAAAATAATCCGTTGCATGCATTTGTTATCGTTGAATGGGTAACCTATGTTATTGCTGTTTTGTCCCATGCATAATTTCCAGCGTTATTTCGTTGTCAAGTCTCTTCCAAAAGCCTGTTGTTTTTGAGCTAAATTTCCCCTTGTCTTCTGACTAACTTATCGATCTTTCTATTATTTGTCAGCTATATATAAAGTTCATAGAAGAGGAACATATAAAAAAATGAAAAAAGAAACAGAAATATATATATATATATATATATAAAAAAAAAAAAAAAAAAAAAAAAAAAAAAAAAAAAAAAAAAAAAAAAAAAAAATATATATATATATATATATATACGGGGAGGTTCCGCTAAAAACAGAGCTTATGGTGAAAACTAAAAACAAGCAATCTTAGCCATTCATTACTAGAACAAAAGATCAGACGGTTATATAGCCCTAAGATCATTCCAACCTTACATATAATCAATTCAACCGTTTTAAAGGTTTTTTTTTTTTTTTTTTTTTTTTTTTTTTGGACAAACGCAACGTTTTAAAGGTCACTACATGCTAAAATAAAGTAACTTTATCTAAATTGACGATATTTACATAGAGTCACTATATATAAAAATAACGTAACTATATACAAAAATAGGGTAGCTATTTCAATTTTTACAATATTTACATTAAGGTCACTATATACAAAAATAGGGTAACTATTTCAATTTTGACCATATTTACATAGAGGTCACTATATACAAAAATAGGGTAACTATAACAATTTTTACAACATTTACATTAAGGTCACTATATACAAAAATAAAGTAACTATATCGTCTGAGTTTTTGACACCATTTACATAAATGTCACTATATACAAAAATAAAGGTCACTATATATAAAAATAAGGTGACTGAAACAAAATTTACAACATTTCCATAATTCTAAGGTCATTATATCGAAAATAAGGTAACTATATATTAACTTCGGGTAATTATATCAATTTGACACCATTTACCTAGAGGTCGATAAATATAAAAATAAGTATTAAAAAAGTCTATGTAGGATTCGAACCTACATCCCGTGATTACACGGTGCTCGACCAATTGAGCTAATAGGCTTTCAACATGCCAAAACAGCCAATAAAAGCATACCAACATCACAGACCAACATCATACAGACCAACATCATACAGACTGAAGCAAAACAAGCTTGACAAGATCAACGTTTCAAGAACAGAAGCAGAGGCAAATAAAAGCATACCAGGATATCATGATACGAGCAAGCCACCTGTATATGAGGAATCCCAACTAAATGTAGATATTGAACAGGCAGGCACCAAAAATCATACAATCAGAGATAAATCTTCACAAAGGCTGAAGAAGGTTACTATACTAACTCCAGCTGACAAGGTAAGATTAGGCATGATAGAGCTTGCAATAACGCAAACTAGCATACTCGAATTTTAGAAATAAATTTCTAAGGACACACTTCTACCATTTAACAGATATAAGCCTATGAGGCTATGATTCACAAAACAATACATATCTAGCTCCGTATCAGAGTGCACTTAGATTCTGGTACCATTACTTCAAAAGAAAGTCTATAGTAGGATAACAATACAATTGATCACTTGGTATTAACATTCAACTCTCTTACTCTTTGAGTGGAATAATAACAATAACTCAAATGTCTAGACTGTCATGGATGATCTGCACTACTGTTCGAATAAAATCTTAAATGAAAATGTACAAATCTACTGCAGAATTAAACAAAATATCGTTCACAATCACAATCACAAGCAGAACTTATTTAATCACATTCTTTCTTATACACAACATATAACAACCCATTAATAGGCAAAATCACATATCTACACATCACACCACACAGGAGTGAAATCAACACGCTCACAATCACAAGCAGAACTTTCACCCAATCACACACCTATACACAAACGAGCAGCTTACAGTCCATTCACAAACGAGCAGCTTACTGTCCAATTATAGGTTGTATATATAAACAATTTCTACGGCAACACAAAAGCAAGGAAATCACATTTCTGACAATCAGACTAAATACATCAATAAAATGCAGCAACATTAGAAAAATATCATCAAAATAATCAAATAAAACACAAAGTTCAGAAAATTTGATGATGAAATTGAAAATCGAACACAAAGTGATAAACTAAGCCGAAAAAATCGAGCACAAACTGATAAACTTAAAATGAAAAAATCGAACACAATTGAGAAAAAATAAAACCGAAAAAATCGAAATCAAATTCAAAAAATTAAGCCGAAAAATCAAACACAAATTGAAAATAGAGAAATTGATCAATATACAATGAAATGATCGATTAACGTAGAAAAATTTGATGACGAAATTGATGTGCTCAGAATGCCAAACGAAGAAATTAAGTTGAATTATAACATAATTAAACTTATATGAAACTCGATTAAGAATGAACTACCTCAAATAAAGTTAAATTACTCCTACGAAACTTACAAAATTTGCCAAAAATTACAAAATTAATAAAAAACAGAAGCAAAGTACTCAAAAAAATTACACAAATCGGAAACGAAAAACTCAAGAAATTACTCAAAAAACAACGATATGAAGAAATTATGAAAAACGCAAAATAATAACTCAAAAAACAATTAAAAAATCAGAAAATAACAAAAAACAGAAACGAAAAACTCAAAAATTACACAAATAAGAAACGAAAAACTCAAAAAAAAAAAAAAAACTCAAAAAACATTGATTAAAAAAGCTAAAATAAAGCAAAATTATAAACGATTTCCTTACTTGATAGATCGTAGACAATAATAGGAATCAATTTGATGAAGAATCGAATCAATCACAACTATGCTTTGGAGAAGTAGTATGAAGTTTGAGGAAGAATGTAGAAATCAGGAAAGAGAAAAGAGAGGAGAGAGAATGTTATGCATGAAAATGCAGGAGAGAGAAACCAAAAGGCTGGAAAAAACCCCTACCGTAGGATAAGATGAGTTTGAATCTACGGTCAAGATTTTGTGTTTTCAGTTTTTAACTTAAGGTTGGTTTTCACATGATCCAACTCCTATATATATATATATATATATATATATATATATATATATATATATATATATATATATATATAAACCCTAATAAAACTGGTCACATATTATTACATACTTATATTATATCTACTCATTAGTCACAAGTCAACTCTTATCACTGAAAACTCTAAAATAGGAAATGAAACATTCAATCAAAAGTACTAATACTATAGACTTTTGAGACCGTAGCCAAGTTTCTCTCTAACCCTTGTTAATTTGACAAATGCATGCATGCATGCACATGTCATGTGAGTACATACATACAAATATAGGAAAGAGACTGTAGTAAAATTTTTAAAAAGTCACCACTAGCGTAATATGAAATTAGTTGTCACATCAACAGTTTAAAATATATTATTCAGCGCGATCATTAATTTTGGACTAATACATCGGAGTATGTTCGTAAGTCTTAATAATTTTAAGAAAATCATACAAAAGAAAGATTGTCATTGAGAGAGGACTTGTCTTTGATAGGAAAGAGCTCCAAGGTTTTGAGGGGTCTTCTAGAGGAATGCTCATCATCATCATGGTCATGATTACCATGATTATTATAATCTCCTGATTTCGTCATCATCCAATCATCATGATCTTGATTTGTTATCATTGGCTTCATTATCTGCTTTGTATTTTCCCTTCCATACTTTGCATTATCCGAATTCTCCGTATTCCAAGTTGTGTATGTATTTTCCATCCGTGGGACTACTACATCTTCTACTCGTGTCTACATTTACATAACCAAAAAAAAAAAAAAAAAAAAAAAATTAAAAGAAGAGAGCATATCTAAGGGCTAAACATATACAAGTAAATTATTATTTCAAATCTTTTGAAAATTTGACCAATCTTAACTATTTCACCATTTGTTTAATTTGTTTGAACATTGATATTTTTACTTGTTAATTAGTCAAAAATATTAAATTAATATTTTGAAAGTATATTTTTAGACAAATCTAATGAAATATCTCATAACTTAGCTTTCTTATACATTGATGAGAATTCATGGTCAAAGTTGATGAACTTTGACTTTAAAAAAAAATCCAACAAATAATTAGGGACGTGAAGAACTCTGTAATATATATGTAGTAGGGTTTCTTCCTTTGATTTTTTTTGTTTTTAAAACTTCAAATAGTTTGATGTATGTATAAAGGAAAAATATTGTTCTTGCAGCTCAACTTACTAGATCTGCCCCCTAAAAGGTGAATTCTTGTCATCAATCATGCCTAACTTAACCACCCTAAGAGAATCTAATGTATTGATCTAGTAAAGAATTTTGTTAGTTCATATAAACATTTGGGGTGTGCGGAAATCAGTGGCCCAACATATATGCCTATTATAAAATCGGAGAGAATATTCCGTCCTCATCTTCCTATTAGGTTCTTAGTACTTTCAATAATGATTCTAATGTCGTTTTAAGAAATGTATAACTATTACTTAGTACTCCAATCCTTAATTTCAATTAACCAACTAATTGAGGTACAACGTAATTAACTACACGCGATAACAACTTTGGTAATAGATCCGGTGAAACAAATTTTTGAGGACACGTACCAAATATATATATGGAACCTTTCACACATCAATCAATCAATAATAATAATAATAATAATAATAACTATATACTAAAAGACACACCAGCCATGACACGTGTCATCTCCTGGTGTGTCCTTAGTAGGTTTTTTTTTTATTTTTTTTTTAATAGTATAAAATCTTATACAAAAATAATTTTTTTTCATATATGTTAATAATAAAGATAATTACTTTAAATAAAAAAGATTTGATATACATTTCCACCCAAACATTTATGACTATAATAGAAAATATTACATAATTTATGACATATTTTAAATTACTTCATGAAAGTATTCATATTTTTTCCTAATAAAAATAGTTGTTTATTTATTGATTAGAATTCACATCAAAGTCGTGTGTATATTTATTAACTTTTTTTAGATCTTTTTTAATTTTTGTAAAATAACCAATAATATTGAAAGGTTGATATAATTTTAAAAAATTACCGTGCATGACACGAGACCTAAACTAATATTAGCTAAAATTTGAGTGTAAGAGAGATCATATACTAACATGATGATACTTAAATTAATACAGGAACACTGACTTTTTTGTTAAGTACGTGTACATTTAAATTAGTACTCGTTTTTTTTTTTTTTTTTTTTTTTTGGGCTACTAGAATCATGCCTATTATTAGTTTAAATGCAAGTGTACATAAAACCACAATTATTATCAAGTAGCAAATTAAATTAGTTGATCATAGACATGAGCAATGCATAAAAAATATACCTGATGATGATGAGCACCAAAGCAAGGTGAGTTGACCGGAGGGAGCTGATGATGGAATAACCCAAGGGAAGACGATGTCGGACCGCAACAAGGTAGTGGTGGTGGTGGTGGAGGTGGTAGAGGTGGTTGATCAAATTGAAGATGATGGAGTAAATTACTATGATGATGTTGAAAATGTTGATGATGATCAAAAGAAGGAAAAACATGATGATGAGAAAACATAAAGTGGTGTTGCTGTTGTTGAAGTTGTTTATCAAGAAGTTTTTTCCTAAGTTTTTGTCTATCTCTTGCCTTATGATTTTGAAACCAATAGAAAACATTTTTACCTTCAATTTTACCATAAAGAGAAAGATGGGCAGTAATTTGTTGTATTTGAGATGCATTTGGAGTTCTTACACCACCTCTATACATTTCCTCTAATATCATCACTTGTTCTGGTGTTGGACACCATCTTGTTGAGGCTGCTGGTGACATTTTATTTTATTTATTTATTTATTTATTTTTTTTTTTTTTTGTGGCTTTGAAAAATATTGATGTCTTTAAATTTGCCCTATTGGTGAGGTGTTGGCCTGGGAAGGGATAGACAAGATGAGGGCTATAAATAGATGAGAAAAAGGGGTAGCACAATAGGGAGCAAAAGGGAAAAAGTATGAAATAAATGGTATAGTTATTAATATTAAAGTGACAAAAGGATGCAATAAAAGTTTTTGGAAATAAATGTGTGGAGGGGGGGATTGAAAAGGGGATGGTTTGAATTTTTTTTTAATTTTTTTTTAATGTCATTTTGGGAGTTGTGTTCACTTGTAAATATAATGAAAATTGTGGGATTTATTATAATGTTGTAGTTATAGATGATTAAGTTTAGACGTATCAAGACTTTAATTCATGATAGCAAGTTATTTATTTACTCGTATTTTATTTCTTAAAATAATAATTCATCAATTAGGGTACATTATTGAAAGTAACTACATAATTTTTGTATAGTATAACCTTTCTTTAAAATTATTAAAAATGTATGTCAAGTTAGTTTACAACAAATTTATATATTATAATTATAGAGTATGCCCAATCTTTACAATCAATAATTAATAAGGCAATTGTATTAATGATTAAAGGAATACTTTGAAAAGGATGAAAAATTCTCTCTAGGCCACTACTAAATGCTCTTTCTTAATTGGTGAAATTTTATTTATTAACAGTCCAAAAACATTCTAATTAACTAGAAGGAAAATACTCCTTTGGGAAAAAGGGTACTACGTAGTTGATCAAATTGGTTACATGATTACATTACAGTATATATATTACTTGGTGTACACAATATTATATTATATGTCATAAAGATAATGTGCAGGGACTTATTCCTTAGCTCACCTAATTTAATAAAAGTAAAAATGTGATTATTATTTTTATATTAAAGACTACGCAACATAACTTATAACTAATGGAGGCCTGAATTGAAAATCATGATTAATGATTTCATGTATGTATTATATCTAATCATGAATAATGCACAAGTAATTAATTGGCATTTGGAGAATAATTAGGACATTAGTTTTAGTACTATTACACAAACTAAGATTTCTTAATAAAGGAAAGATATAAAGTACTAAGATGTTGATTAGGGTTTTAAAAAAAGAATAAAGGGGAGGACATTATATATGAATAGTACAAGGAAAAAGATGCAGAGTGTGAAGTTGATGTTTCCCATCAAGGATGCATACAGTATTATGTCTTCAGGAAGAGAAGGGACAGAATGAGGAATTGCAATGTGATCAATATGTGTGGTTGAGATATTAATGATTTCGTCATTATTACCTTGTTATTAATTATATCTTTTTTTTTTTTTAACATTCTTCATTTTTTTTTATTGCATTATAGGAATTTTGGAGGCAAAATTTGATAGTGGAAAAAAGTAAGATAGAGAAACGTAAAAATACAAAATTGTTCATGTAATGTAAAGATAAAATAAAAAGTAAGTATGAAAAAGTAACGGTATATTGGGTATTTGCAGTGTGAACACAGATACTTTTTGTTCTAAAATGAAAATGATGCAATATTTTGTGAAACTCCTCTAAAAGGCAAGTGATGTTATATTAAAAGAACGGAGGAAGTATATAAAATAAATTAATTTTTTTATTACTCCAACTAGTTTCTAGTTTTGTTTTATGGATGGGATGCTTGGGTTGTCATAAAGCAAAATAGAATGATTGTTGTTAAGAGTACCCAGAGAGAGCCAGAACCCCATGCTGATTCACATCTCTTTCTTACACACCCACCAATTCATCATCATATTGTTATTTTTGAGATTTTAATTTTGGATTTTCTTCATTCTAGTACACTGTGTAGTAGAAAATATCAACTAAGCTAGAATGTATCCAAATAAAATCACCCATAATTATAAATGGGGTTCGCTTTAGTTACTAGAAAATTGTAATGAAGGGTTTAAGCTGAATCCATGAAATTATCTAGTAATTAATTGAATGGTCCAGTAATTTGAGATAGAAGATCATCACGTAAACCTGATTATCCGATCCAATGTTATTCATTCCAACAATGTGAAATGGTAATCAACACCTCTTAATTTCTCGGAGATATGCATGATTATTTGTTTGAGAGTTCTAGAGTAAACTAATGGACAAAACCATATATGAGTACTTAAAGAGTTCGTTATTTGTTGTTTGAATTATTCTTCAAAAAAATGTCTTTATTTTCTCAATTTCTCTTTGAGATATATACTTAAGTTGCATGTTTATCCATTATCATCTTTCTCTTTCATAGTACTCCATCAAAATAAAATAGACTACTACCAATGTCATGTGAGTCATGTCCATGGTTGAACCATCAATTCAAACCATCTTTCGTGAGTGGGGTCTATTATTACATGAGTTCTCCAATCTTCCTTGTTACATGAAAAAGGCCTTATGATAAGAGTTCTCCATTTTGACCAGATAACAATAAGGTTTTATCATATGATAACTTGAAACTTTTTTTATTTTCCTTGTCCATTTAAATAGGTTGACACTACATTGTGCATATGACTTCTCACTAGGTTATCTACTTAAACAAAGTCCTTTAAGTCAAATTTTTGTCCTTGCTTGCTTGGATCCAGGCCACATACAAGGGAAATTATGCACATAATTTCAATAATTATAATTGTATGTATTATTATTAGTGTTTTGTTTTGACAATATTCCTTTTACATCCAGTTTATTTGTATTAGTATACTGTACCATACATTATTACCACATTATCGAGATCTCACTACACGTTATTGCTACTCCCTTGTCTCTAAAAGTTCATTTTGATTAAAAGCACAATCGCACAACTATTAATTTTTCAATCAAGAAATTAAATAGATTTATTTTGCGTCTCTTAGAGATTTTGTCATACATTATTGTTCTCACAATCGTTCAAATAACCTCATCATTGTACCATCCAATCACTACAAGAAACCGCGGAAATAGAGTGAACGCTCAAAACAATAAGAGAAGGAATGCATCTAAGCTTTGATTCAAACCAAGCAAGTAACCAACAAAAAAAAATTATGGCGCACATGTGAGGGAAAGGGGGGTAATATCAGTCTATGTCTTTTAACTCAACCCCTTGCAACAAGTAAAAAAAGAAAATATTGTACTAATGTATAGAAATACATATATATGGTGCAATTATTAATGCATTTATATAACAAGTAAGTTTAAAAAACTGACCTGAAAATCTAAAAACTTAATTCCATCGATCAACTATATTTAGAATTCCAAACTAACAAACATTTTGTTGGGTGTCAATTGACGACTGCCAACAATAACTTTTACATATTCTATCACAGTTGGTTAGAAAACGACTTTTCCTAGGCCAAATAAAATTCTAATTCATTCATAAATGAAGTAAAACTTTATATTATATTTTGGGTTTCCGTTATCATATAAACTTTACCCTTTGTTCATCATATAATTATGAACATGCCTGCAATTTTTAATCTGTCTAGTCATTTTTCATTTGTGTAATTTGTTGCCCCCTAATTTTTTTAAATATAATTTTATTAAAATACTCCGTATTAAATATTTAGTTAATGAAATTGCAGGGGTTGCGTACGTCATAACTGATGAAAAATAGAGAAGGTGATGAATGGAGGTGATTGGACTGTTCAGCTAAATTTTGTCTTTCTTTCTCACTGACCCACTTTCTGTAGGAAGCATTCAATTGTGTTTTATGCATCTTTTCTATTCTTTGGCCACTTCTTTGTCCGTTTTTATTAATAACGGAGAAACATCATACTGAATCGATATCTCTTATAATGGTTGTGTTTGGTTATCAGCTTATTGAGCCAAAAAGAGCTTATTCAGCACATTTGGAGGATTTGACCAAACCAATCATCTAATTGAGGTGTTTGGTAACAGCGGGTCACATTAACTTATTCACATGAATCAGCTTAATTTGGAAACGCTCCTAACTCCAGCGTTTTCAGAATAGCTTATTTGATTCTTTTGCATAGTTACACAAATGCCCAAAAATTCACTGCAATAAATCAATTAATAAAATTCAATTATCAGAAGCCTATTAATAAAAAAGGGTAAAATTAACAAGAAACCATTATTTACGGTAAGGCAAAAGAAAAAAAAAAACTCTTATCTTTCATCAAGTTAACTTTAAAAATAGGTATGCATGTTTTAATTCTTGCTCCAGAATTCAAAATAATTTTGAAGTTGAAGGATAACTAAATTTTACCTTCATAGTTGGGAGTAGTCAGATCTGAAAATAGATATCAATTTTGATTTCCTTTCAATTGTTTTTGATAAAGAGATAGGATGATGGAGCATTAGCATTGATTGTTTTTTTTTCCACAATAAATAAAGGAGATAAAGATGGTGGTGAAAATGGTTTGGGAAGATGAAGAAGGGGTTATTCATTCCGTATGAGAAAAGCAATGGGCCGGTATTGTGGTTTTTTTTGTTTTGTTTCCCCTCAACTATTGATAAACTTTTTTTTTCCCCCTCAACTATTGATAAACTTAAGATCGAGTTGGTAAATTGGTAAATTTTTAAAATGTTTATTCTAAATCTTAAATTTAAAAAGGAATACTAAATAAATAAAAACACTATCAACATTAATTTGTAAATCTTAAGAAACTAATTATAGTAGTGAATTACAGTAATACACTAATATAGGAATAAAGAGATTCAATTGGTAAATTAAATACTTTTAGTGGGATTAATAATTTCTTCAATTTTATATACATATATGTCAATAGCTTTATTGGTCATTTTACATAAGTAAATACCTATCAACTAATATTAGTTTACCAAACACTTTTATATAATCAGCTAATACAATCAGTTAGTCAAATCAGTTAATACAATCAGTTAGTCAAAATCAGCTAATACAATTAGCTTCAGCTTTCAGTTTTCAACTTTTCACCAAACATGACCAATATATCAGTAGGTATATTATTAGATATCTATGTTAGATTTTGTGAAAACTCCTCAGATTGGAGTGTATTCCATTGATTCCAATATATAGGGTTGCAAGTATGAGTCCTAATCACGTTGAGAAATCTCAAAAGATAATTACAAAATATATACAAACTATATCCTTCTATAACAGAATATCTAGAATATTAATCCTATATTCTATCACACTCCCGCAGTCATAGTAGGAGGAGGACGCACGCTGAGACTAGATCTGAAATCCAAAAATAGTTGTCGAGGTAGGCCTTTCGTGAAAATGTCTGCAAACTGATAGCGGAAAGGAACGTGCAAGACCCGTACATGCCCTCAACACCACCTTTTTTCAAATGAAATGAATGTCCATTTCTACGTGCTTGGTGCGTTGGTGTTGTACGGGATTATGAGATAAATAAATTGCACTGACATTATCACAATAAACAAGTGTGACTTGCCAGAGAAGACAATGTAGCTCTAAAAGAAGATTACGGAGCCAATAGGTCTCGGAAACAACATTTGCGACGCCTCTGTATTCTGCCTCTGCACTTGATTTGGAATGAGTATGCTGACGCTTAGACGACCAAGAAATAAGATTGTCACCCAAAAAACAACAGAATTGGAAGTAGAGCGTCGAGTGTCAA